CCTGGCACTAATGAAATTTTAGCCTCCCCCATCCCTATCAGATCATAAAATAAATAATGTATCAGACAATATATGATTGGCTGAACAAAAAACAACAATATATTGGACTGGATATATTAAAATCAAAATTAGTAATATTTCAGAGGTTTTTTCCTATTGAACCCAACAGACCCTACTTCTGAGTTTAGGAGCATGGAAGATTCTGAGGAGTTAGAAAATTAAAGTTTCTTGTTGATGGGTAAAACACACACACACACACACAAACCACAACTCCATGGATTATCCCCAAAACGTCTTTATTTATCCAATACCTAAACCTTTAAAAAGAATTTGCATTGGTTGTTCTGCACTGGTAGTTAGAAATTACAGCTGATTAAATACTCTCATTTTAAAAAAGGCACTTGAGATGGATTAAATCCAAAGAGATATTAGTGATTCTGAAGTTACTCTCTCTCTATGTCTATATGTACAAATGTCTAAAAATTTATAGAATTGGAATTTCATTGAATTTTTAAAAATACAATAACCCAAGTTCAAATATACTAAAATATTCTGAACTGCTCACACAATTATTACAACTTCAATTTCCCTTATCTGCGAGTGAAGTCTTACAGAAAGGAAGGAAGATTCATCTACCAGGGCTGAAGTATAAATGCTTGACGTTGGGTTTTGTTTTTTAAAGGATAGTTTGCTTTCCCTTTAAAGCTATTTGGTAATGTAGGTTAGCACAAGAATAAATTTAAGTAACTTTCCCTTTTAATTAAAAAAAACTGTAGGGAAACATTCCTCCCCCTATGAATACAGTGTATTAACCAACATAAATTATTTGGTGGAAGGGCACATTTGAAAATCATATTAAGTTTCTGTTTCATTGTAGGGGAAATTTTTCACTTTGTCCTGGGCAGGTGAAATTATTTGGAGAGAAGAGAGGCCCCATGGAGAGTATCATTTTTAATCTCACCCTTTTCCTTTCTCCCCCAAAGTCACCTTTGAATGTTTCATAATTTCCCAGAATGTATTTCAAGTGATCTGCTTTTTCCCCCCTATTTAAACTAGATAGATGCATTTCAGGAAGTAATTGGCTGATGTTGTATTAAATTACCGCAGATAACTCCGGCTTTAATATATCTTGTGTGCTTCTGTCTTGTTTTAATATAAAGAGGCTATGGTCTCCATCATATTTTCACTAAAGAGCCATCCTTCCTGTTCTTCAAAGGCCACTAAAAATATACAAGATTCCCCCCCCCCATCGTCTCCCAACATATAAGAAGTTATAATGCCATTGAACAATAATATGCTCTTGCTGGTGCCCACATTAAAAAAAACAAACAAAATACACACTGAGTTCAGCAAGATTTCAACCTAAAGATTCATGAACATAAAGGGCACTCCAACTTTCATCTAGGACATGAACTCACACAAGTAAATTTCCAAATGCCTTTTTCTTTTTATAATAATTAGTTTCATCACACTCAGTTTCTGTCTAGGTTTTATTCTTTTTTATTTATATATTTAATATTCTTTGTTATATTCCTTAGGATACAATTCTCTATTAATTTTTTTTTGGGGGGGGGGGCTACATCTTGTTGAATTCAGAGAAGGTAGGACGTGTGTTGAGACTTTCCCTGCCAGGTTTGCCCATAAACTCCAAAAGTAATAATCTTAATTGTTTCCATGTTATAATTCCCAGCACACCAGTATATTCTTTGGCTTCAGAAATTCTACCTCAAACGGGTTTTTTTAAAAAAAAGAAAGAGACATATTATAAATGAAGCTTGGGTGGCTGATTACTGAGAATACCCCTTAAAACAGTATCTCTGGCTTTCACTGACTATTCATATGTTTCGTTCAGCCACGTTCTGAGTAAAAAAATGTCCTCTCTACACCCCCGCCCCCCCCGGAAAAGTTTTGTCAATGGCTGTTGTAGTTTTACCATCGTCCAGTAGACGGCGTAAACGCCCAAGCCTTCAAATAAATAGGCGATCCAAGCGGGTTTTGTTTTAAATAATGAAGGCAGCCGCATTTTAATTCCAGAAAGTATTTTTTAATTAATTAATTATTATTATTATTAGAAGAAGAGTCCATTAATATTATTGATGACACTGCTTGGAAGTATCAATATTGTATAAAAAGTAGAGGGGATGCTCCAACCACCACTTATTATAAACTAGATGAACCTTCAGTCATATTCAGCCCTCCGATTAAAGTTAAGCAAACCCTCCCAAGACGGTATCCTCAAAACCTCCGAAAAGGAGAACTTCAAGAGAGGGAACTGTTTTATAGCTGTGTAGCAGTATTATCGCCTCATTATGCGCTCATGGAATTTTCTGTTGTTAAAAAAAAAGTTAAATGTTGTTCCTGAAGTTTAAATCTATCAAGGAGGTGATCAACGGTCAGATAATTTCCAAAAAGCCACAGCGGCTTTCTACAATTCTGATTTGAACTGGAGAGGAGGGCGGAGAGACTATCAGGATTTTTTCTATCATGTAAAAAAATCTTTGAATGGCAACTTCCAATCCCATTTCACACTTCCAGAAATTAAAGGAAAACAACAAACAAAAGCAACAAACAAAACAACAACCTGCAATCTCGCCAATTTGTCTTCAGGCCAACCCTCTCGGGGGTTGCAGAGTGTCCTCACCCCACCCCAAGTGACAAACGTCCAGGCCAGTAATAATAGTAACTCATGCCCCAGTTGGGGACGGCGGTGGGGTGGGGGGTAGCGAAGGGGGAGGAGGTTGTTGTTTAAGTGTAAATTATACCAGTAGGGTTCAAAAAGTTTTTAGGTGGGGAGTAACTTTTTTTTTTAGAAATGTTTTATAAAGTCCTCCATTAATTAATAAAAGGCGGTCTATAACTTTTGAAAAATGGTCATTAAATTGAACAGCCATTGCTTTTTTTGTTTGGTCATTCTTACACACCCCCACTCAGTCCGTCCGTGTGTCTTCCCCCCCTCCCCCCCCCTCTGCCCTCTCCCTCTCAGTCGGGCCCCCCCCCCCTTCCCCGCCGCAGTCGCTCCCTGGTTTTTTATTTTGGCGGGGAGGGAGATTCAGACATTTTAAAACCCTGGAAAGAAAACGTTCTTTTGCAAAAAAATATATTTTTTCGGGTCCCGCTTCTTCACTCGGAATATTTCCTAAATACAGTGGCTTGAGCATTTCGCCTCCCTCACTGTCCCGAATGGCCAGCCTGACCTCTGATTGACTCCTGAACTGGACCAGGGCTCTTTGTTTTCCCAAGTCGGAATCCAGTAAACAAACCATCTCTAACTCTCCGAGTCCCGTCTTTGCTTCGCAAACGGCCACTCGCTTCATCTTCACTTAATCTCCCCTCCAGCCCCGCTGAACCTCCTTTCTTTTTCACCTCCTCAAGTTTTGCCCTCTAATGGATCTTTAAATAGTTTTCTCTTTCGCGCTGCCATTCATTTAGGGTTTTCTGGCTTTGCTTTTTTGGGGGGGGGCGGGGGGTGTCAGATCCCTGCTATCACTCCAAGTCTTATCTCAGCATTCCTTCATTATCTTTATGTCCTGTTTAAAATCTGTTTTCTTCTGTTTGTTTTTTCACGTTTCGTGCCCTAAAATCTAAACACCGAAGGATCGGAGAAGCGGAGGGGGGGCAAAAAGAAAAAGAAAAAAGTAACTAGGCTACCGGAGCGGGTGTGTGTGTGTGTGGGAAAGAAAGGCTGTGCGGCCCCAGCGGGCCACCCCACATGTTTTGACTCCCCCAAAGCTGTCCTTTTCATGCGACCATCCATGACTTCGAAAGGGAGTTGGAAGTCAGGGGTGCCCATCGTCGGACTGAGTTTTTGGAAATTAGGGTGACTCCTCCAGAGTAGATCCTGAACGAGCCGCCTCAAGCTGTTGCCTCCGACAGAAGCAGCTGGAATCCGAGGCACACTCACTGGGAGCAAGCTCAGTTCCCCTCCTTTTGAAAACCTCTTCTCTGCCGCCACCCACCACCACCTCGGGACTGAAACCCCCGCGGGACAACGGGGCTTCTCTTTTCCCCCGGGGAGGCCTGCGGAGTGTCGGCAGCATTAAGAGACTCCGAAGAATTCCCCCTGGCAGGGCCGGGGCCCCTTCCCATCTCCCTGCAAAGTGGGACCGAGAATGGCTAGAGTTGCCCTTAGCCCAAAATGTGCCAGCGCCTGGGAAGCAGGCTAGCTGGGCTTCGCGGAGGCTTCGGGCCGGCATCAACTTGCTCGCCTCCAAACGGCCGAGAGGCTTTTCAGCCCTTTTCCACGTGCCGGGGGTGGTGGAAGGGAGAGGGGGCCGTGGGCTTTGGAGGACTCCGGGGTCCTCCAAAAGAGCCATTTCGTGAATCTCCGGGTCTCAGGTTTGGGGTTGGATGGGGTCACAGCTGGCAGGGGAGCGGGAAAGCCGAGGGTCCTAGCTGCATTTCCTAAAAAGGCCATCTAGTCGAAAAGCTTGGGTCGTTGAGGTGGAAAAGTAAAAAAAAAAAAAAAAAAAAAAGGTCGCAGAATTGTCTCCGGGAGGTTATGGAGCTAGCGAGGAGCTGCCCGTTTCTTTTCCCGCCCTTTTAATAGATGATTAATTGCTTGCCCGGCTTAGTCTTTTTATGGCCGGTATATTGCAACTCGAGACGGCTAAGGCGCAATTGCTCACAGCAAGCCTCAACAGTGGGGACTGTTTGCTAATTGTAAAAAAAGAAAGGAAAAAAAAAACACCAACCCTTATCCAGAAGGAGCTTTGTGCAAACAATTTGTCGTCCTACTGTAATTACACTGTAAAAGTGCTTTCACCTCAATTGGGTCACTTTCGTCTGTTAGAGGCCTGGGAACTTTGATAGGGGAAAGGGAGCACCAGCACCTCACCTCTCCCTCTTTCTCTGCCTCCCTGCCTTGTGCAGAAGGAGGGCGCGGTTTGGGATTAGTCAAGTAAAGTCAACCAGGGCAGCCCAGTTCTGGGTAACGAAAGCAAGCAGGGGAGCGACAGCTGTGGTCCAGTTATTCAGGATTAGTGGGATTCACACAACCTTACCTGGGGAGCCTTAGCGGCG